AAATTTAATGGACTTAAACGATTTGCATACAGCAGACATTTAATTACAGATTGAGTGAGAGAGAGCGGGGGAGAGAAGGCGATAAGACTTGTTGCTGAAGCAAAGTGGCTGCGATTATTAGAGAAACCCACATATGCGATTATCTTTATGGCACTCGATCAATAATAATAATTATAATAATAATAATCGTGAACTGAAGAATGTTAAGAAAAATATGGCGTTTGCATTTGCAATAGCTGCAAACTATGTGGCAACGACTGCAGTGCCATTAAATGCCCACACATCGATTGAAGCTCAATTTGCATGTTTGCAGTGTCACTTGGGCAAAATAAATAATTGATATCGCTCGGTGCAAATACTTGGCCAGATAGTAAAATGAGCCATAGACCCTGCCGTTCAACAGCTATCATTATGTGATTAGATAGACAGAGAGCGAGAGAGAGAGAGAGAGAGAGATGCAGACAGAGAGTGTGAGAGGTGAACTTGTCGACGCATCAATGATTCCTTGTGTACCGAGGTCTACATAACATGTTCGTTCGCAATTAAGTGCCAGGTTACATAAAAGTTGCCATCCATTCGACTGGAAAATGAAAAACTGCTATATACATAGAGTCAACAGAATAATAGAGTGTGTGGGCTTAACTATGAACAGTTTGAGTACAGTGTACTCTATATGAAGCCCTAGCAGAGCTGTCAGGTTGGTCGGGCTGGTCATTTGGTCTGTTCGAAAATTGTTTTTGCCTATTATGGCCCCTAATGGAGCACATGTCCAAGCGTTGGCTTGCCACTTAGGGCCCGGCCAATTAGGCGCTGTTCGAATGAAGATTTCATACTCACGAATGTGCCCCAGGGGCAAGCGATTTATTTAAATGGAACGTTTAACTCACCTGCAAAACAGAAGAAACAGAAGCAAAATTAAATAATTACATTATTAAGGCAAAATATTTATACTAATAATAATAATAAACAGCAAAAAAAATTCAACAATTTATAAATAAAATATGCCAAAGAATGCGGTCGCGGCACCAGGCATACGAAATTGTAATTAATTCATTAAAAAAGGGGGAATTCTGAAATAT